CCCAGTTTCCCCCATCGTTAACATATTACAGTCCCACGGCGTAGTTGTCAAAACTAAGAAACTGATATTAGTACATTATTGTTAACTGACACATACTTTGTTTGAACTTCACTGGTTTTTCCAAAAAATGTCCTCTTCTTGTTCCAGGAGCCAATCCAGAGAACATATTGCATTTAATTGTCATGTACCCTAGTCTCCTCTGGTCCATGGCAGTTTCTCAGTCATTCTGTTTTATTTGTGAACATGACAGGCTTTGGTGACTTGACCTGTTGCTGCTACTCGACTGAGTCTTCCAAAGGCCATCCCTGTTAGGATAATGGGGAGCATGGTGAGAGCAGTGAATCCCATGCTCTTCAGCCCATTAGCTAGACTTCGCTTTTTTCCTTGTGAAGTGAATTCCTTGGTCAGGAACAATGCTATGTAGAACACCATGATAGTGGATAAGGCATTCTGTAAATCCATTAATGGTAGTTTTTACAGAAGCATTTCATGCAGCGAACACAAATCCATTTCCAGAGAACAGAATGCTGCCTCTTCCATGCGGAAGTGGCCAGTGTAATCAACTGGCCACCCCGTAGGTGGCTGATCACGCCAGGCAGTGGTGCCATATTGGTGGTTCAGTGTTGGTCTCTGCTACAGGCAAATTGGGCCCTCAGCAGTAGCTGTAGCCAAGTCAGCTTTGGTGAGTAGAGGTCTAAGTTGCTGAGCCTATGCATAATCCCCCTCCCTGCCATCATAGCTACTTTGTTCCTGAGCCCACCAGGTGATGACAGTGGTGGGTGGGGAAGAGGCTGACTGGTAACCATAGAAGAGTCATCCTCTGCACTTGATTATTAAAATCCTCCTTTGCTGAGGTCAGCCTTTGGTGCACATTCACATGGAACACAAATATCTTTGTTTTGGCCAATTTAGAGAGTTCTGTCCGCATACCTCTCCTTCACATTCTTATCACTAGTTTTCCAGTCATATCCTTTCCAAGTCTTTAGTTATTCAACCAAGGGATTGGCCATAGCCCATGAATTGGTATATGAAGGGATGTCAAAAAGTTCATAGAAAAATTGAATTAGAAGATAAAGAATATAAATGATATTTCTCATAATAAGCTCCATCAAGGTCAAGATACTTGTAATAATTTAGTCCATTCCTGAGGGTCTTGGGAACTTAACCTTGTCAGTGCAGTCTTTTTTACATTATTAACTGAAGAAAAACAGGTGCCCTTAATAGATTTCTTTTGTTGCCACCACAATTTATTTATCTCGTTCATTACTGGAAATGCAGAGAAGTCCTTGTTATCAAGGGGCTTATAGTCTTATTATTGTTATTTTAGACATGGGTTCTCATGTCACCCAGGCTGGGGTACAGTGGCAGGATCATAGCTTACTGTATGAGCTTAGGGGCTCAAGCAAACCTCCAGCCTTACCCTCTAGGGTAAGACTATAGGTATATGCCACCATACCTGGCTAATTTTTTAATTTTTTGTAGAGATGGGAGAGTCTCCCTTATTTGTCCAGGTTGGTCTTGGACTCTTGGCATCAAGCAATTCTCCCAACTCAGCCTCCCAAAGTGCTGGGATTTCAGGTATGATTCATAGCGTCTATCCTACTTACAATCTCATTAGGGAAACACAATAGGCACACAGGAAGTTGGACTACAAGGAGCATATTGGGAAATGAGAGGTCACGAGGAGCCCAATCAGGACTGTAAGGTGGATGCCTAGTGATTTCCCACTGAAACTCTTGCAGAATGGCCCTTGTTGATGAGGATGAGCTGGAGCATTGTGACAGTTGAGAAGGACTCTGATGAAGGTTCCTCAGGGGGGTTTTCTGCTTTGGGTAACTTTCTGAAAACATTCTTGTAATGAGCAGATGTTGTCATTTTTTGGCCCTCCCACACATCAACAGTAAAGAGCCTTAAGCATCCCCCCCCCCAAAAACTGTTGCCATGACCAGTCCACTTTTGCCTTGTCTGACCCACATCCACCTCGTGGTGGCCATTGCTTTGACTGTGCTTTGTCTTCAGGACCTCTCTGGGAAAGCCTTATTTCAGTAGAAGTCTTTGAGGATCTTGGTCCCGCTTGTTTAAAATTTCCATCAGAAGCTCTGCTCCTGTCTGCAGCTAATCTGGGTGTATGGGTTTTGGCAGCTAAGGAGGGGAAAGTTTGCTGAACTTTAATTTTTCAGTCAGAATTGTATAAGCTGAAGCAGTTGAGACATCCGTGGTGTTTGGGGCTGCTGTTTGTGCTGTTAACCATTGGTCTTCTTCAGTTAGGGCACAAACAAGATGAATTTTTCCCTCACAAATCTATGTGGACGATCTGTTGTTACAGGCTTGATCTTCAATATCATCTCTTCCCTTCTTAAAGCGAGTTATCCACTTGTAAACTGTGGATTTCTTTGGGGCACTGTCCCCATAAACTTTTCACAAAGCGTCAGTGATGTCACTATTTTTCCACACAAGCCTCACCATAAATTTTATGTTTGTCCTTGCTTCACTTTTAGCCAGATTCATGTACCTCTGATTGGGGCTCTTTTCAAACTGATCTTATAGTTCCTAATGCCTCCAACTAGATCCTGTTCAGGCATGTTATGACAAGTTAATATGAGTTTACTTTGGTGCCAAAAAATTTAACTCCATGAATTTTTAAATAATATGCATTTCCCACAGACTTTTGCAGTCCTATGAAATGATTTGCACATCTGGCTAGTTCTCCTTCCAAGCAAAGTGAACAACCAGATGTAGTCCTTGAAGTTCTGTCCGCTGGGAAGATTTTTCTTCACCACTGTTCTTTAGGGAAGTCCCAGAGAAGGGCTGCAGTGCTCTGGCTGCCACTTTGGGCTGGTGGCTGCATATCATGCAGAGCCATCTGTAAGCCAAGCCCAAGTCTTCTCTTCTTCTCTACTGATGATTGGGAACTCCTCATGAGGCTGAAGGTGCCAGCTGGGAGAGAGAAGGCAGTGTGGCAGCCCCGCAGACCATAGCATTTGAGCCCCTTCTGGTAACTCAGTTGTGTCTTCAGGGACAGTTTTGGCCTGATCACATATATAACACTTCCAGTTTGATGTGGAATGTTGCTGTGCGTGTCCCAACTTTATGGCATGGTGGGTCGGATAACACCCAGTTCAAGATGGGCAGCTCAGGTTGCATGGTAACTTGGTAGTCCACGGTCAAGCGTTTATTCTCCACTAAGGTCCAGTAGCAGGTTGAGAACTATTTCTCAAAAAAGAGAATAGTTGTCTGAAGATGATAGCAGGGCCTTACCCAAAATCCTAAGGGTCTGTCCTGATATTCACCTGTAAGTGCCTGCCACAGGCTCCAAACTGTATCCCTTTCTGCCTCTGACATTTCAGGCACGATCGGATCTGCTGGATCTTACGGCCTAAGTGTCCTTGCACAGCAGCTTGAGCCTGTTGCAAAGCTTTTTCTTGCTCTGGGCTTAAAACGAGAAGCTTTTGGGGGTGCTCTGTAAATGGGCCGCAGTAACACACCAAAATGAGAAACATATTACCTCCCAAACTCAAAGAGGCCCCCTAGGTCTTATAGTTCAGCCAGTTCAGGATGAGGTACTGTGTTTAAGTTTCAGCAGTTTCTTTCATCCCTGTGATTGTAGGAGGTAAAGCTCTCCTTCAGGGCACACTAGAAGCTCTTAGGTTGTTTTTCAGCTTTTGTGCTGGGAATTCAAAAAACTCCTATTTTATAATGTTGTCCAGAGACATTGTGAGCAACCAGCCAACGTCATTATATTCCTTAGTTTTAACAAAATGTTCAAAAGTATATAAAGTCATTTAGCTCTTTGCTTCATCTAAGTGGTTGATTATAAGCATCCAGTGCAGATATTTCACATATCTCTACCAACGGTTCATGTCATGGACCATCAGGGCTCTCTTTACTGCTGGAGACAGAGTCATTAGCATCTTTAATCAAACCAGAGTGTCAGTTCTAGAAACCGTAGGACTAACTGAGAAGACTCAACTTTAAAATTCTTCTCTAAGACTATTCTTGGTACCAAAATCTATATTTGTTAGGGTTCTTCAGAGAACAGAACTACTGATTTATTATAAAAATCAGCTCGTACGGTTATGGAGGCTGAGAAGTCCTATGGTCTCCTGCATGTGTGAGGTGGAGAACCAGGAATGCCAGTGGTGTGACTCATTCCCAGTCTAATGTCCTGAGAATCATGGGGCTGATGGTGTGAGTCTCAGTCTGAATCTGAAAACCAGGACCTCTCATGTGTGAAGGTGGGAAAGATGGATGTTCCAACTCAAGCAGAGAGTGAATTTGCCCTTCCTCCACCTTTTGATCTACTTGAGCCCTCAGTGGATTGGATGATGCCTGCTCCTGTTGGTGATGGTCATCTTCTATACTCAGTCTATTGATCCATATGCTAATCTCTTCCAGAGATATCCTTAGAGACATATCCAGAAATGACGTTTACCAGCTATCTGGGCCTCCCTTAGCCCAGTCAAGTTTGACACATAAAATTAACCATAAAAGTATGGCTTCATGTATATTTATTTTTTTCTTTGAGGTATACTGTACTACTTATTTTGTTGCTTAAATTGTTTCAGCATTGGCTGTTGGGAGCTCTTTCAGATTGATTCCTGGGTCCCTCTGACATGCCCTCAAAGTTTTGTTTTTTGAGCACTTCCTTACTTTGTGATACTACAAGATGCTCTAGGCTTATGTTGTATTCTCTCTGTCGTGGTCTTAGAATCAGCCATTTTTCCCTGGCTTCATTTAATAGAGAATGGTATTTAGAAATCAAAATCTGTGCAGTAGGTATGCTTGCTGTTATCAGGATGTCATTGCTCTTAGGCCTTCTCAGTAGACAGAGCCAGGTTTCATACACATACACACACTAACCCATAGATGCAAACATATCCATAGTTATTTATCCATGATTATCATGTTACGGAAAACACAATAAAGACACTTCACATTTGCTTCTGTTCTTTTTCAGCCTATAGGCCAGGTATAATAACTAGCCTTTCTTCTCTTTGCAGATTCCAGATATTCCTCTATTTCTTATGTGCCTTCCAGAACATCGCATGTGGTATCCACTACTTGGCTGCCGTGTTCCTGATAGTTACCCCATATCATACCTGCAGGCCCCCAGGCAATGTGAGTCAGGTTCTTTTCCGCAATCTGTCTAGTCAGAATTTGGAGGACATGTTGGCACTGTGGTCTCCAGGCCAGAAAGATTACATTATGGTGCAGCTGCAGGATGGTGAGATCTGGGAGCTGTCAATGTGTAGCAGGGTCAAGAGGGAAAACATGTCCAGTTTGAACTATGAGTACAGCGGCAAGAAGACCAAATTTCCTTGTGTGGACGGCTACATATTTGACCAGCGAAAGTGGAAAAGCACTGTGGTGACCGAGTGGAATCTAGTCTGTGAACGAAAATGGTTTGCAGCAATGATCCAGCCCCTGTTTATGTTTGGAGTCCTGGTGGGAGCAGCGACTTTTGGCTACATGTCTGACAGGTAAAATGAAATCTTTTTTAGGGGGGCAGGGCTGGGTTTGAACTCACCACCTCAGGGATATGGGGCCGGCCCCCTACTCCTTTGAGCCACAAGCACTGCCTAAAATGAAATCTTTATTTCATTACTGAATCAGGGAAGGATTCATTTTCCTATCTGGGTTTCTTGAAGG